CATGCAGTTCGCGGGATTCGAACCTCGGACCGAACTACCAGTGTTCAGCGACTTTACCGCTCGGCCGCTGGTGGGCGTTTTGCTTTAATAATAGACATAAAATGCCGTCGCCAACATTTCGTGTCTTCGTTTAAAAGTTTAGAGAGGGGTAAATCATCTTTATATATCACCTTCAACTTATTTATAGCTATTTCATTTACACGATCAGCGCAAACTGATGGTTGTATGCAAAACAAGGATGATGCAGTATTTTCTTTAACTTGAAAAATGAGATGGTTAAGTAGAGGGATTACTAAAATAGTTTTATAATACTTAAACACAGAATCACAATAAGCATTATATTGATAGATTTTTCTTTCGAATGATGCGTGGCAGTTTAAGCTTTATATCTAATTTTTTACACATTTGCCCATCATGATCAAACATACTTTCAAAACTCTTTTCTACATTTTCACACTAAGAAATATAAAACTCAGTTATTTCCTAGACCTTGTTATAGGCTTTCACAATATCAACAGGTTGTCTCTGAAGTTTAATTCCTTCTAAATGAGATAGATAATGGTATGCTGTTATGTATGACGAAAGCAGATGAAATGATTAAATTCAGCAGAACCATAGCGTCTCGCTTACATTGCGCACTCCATTGATTATGGTCATAAGCATCTGGTTTAGTTGAGCACACAATGTGCCCTAGGGCTTGAATGATATCAAGCAAGCTTTGATAAAAATGCTGGTACGCATGGGCCTTCTGTTATTTTTTATTAATTTATGTCATTGGGATTATCATTTAAGTATAAAATTATTTTTAAACTTGTATTTTAATTCTGAGTTTATTAGTTTATGGATTTGAATTTTATGAAAGCTTCAATAACACTTTAGATAATTAGCATTAAAATGTTTTTGTAATTTCATAAGCAATAAGACAAATTACATAGTGACTCGGTCTTTTTATCTGACAGAAGGAGAAAAGGTTAACTTATTTAAAGTTGATTCTTCAATGTAAAAAGTTAGAAAGAGGCCTGTGTACTTTTTCTCTCACTAAATCGATGATTCTCACATTTCTTAGAATTTTTAATAGAGCATAAGATATTCAACAGTTCATTTCTTGGATACAAAAGCAAGGATTCTGTCCCAGCGTACGGATAAGTATAAGACATTTTCCTTTTAGAGGTCTATAAAATCGGTGAAGTTGAGACATTATTAGCAAATTTTAATATTTTCACTCCTTTGTGATTAGTGTTGCTCTTCGAAGAAAACTTCAAATAATAATTAAAATAACTTTCCCTCTTCAATATCATACATTAAAGAAAGAAATAATTTTGTTATGAAAATTATTTCTTCTAGCTGCTAAACTTGGAAGCATAAGCATTAACTATCTGTATGATATCTTTGAATGGTGTAGTTAAATAAAATTAAGATTATTTTAAATGAAACTAATGTTTCGTCCAATTCATAACCGCAGGTAATTAAAAACTGAAAAATTTTACCACTTACCAAAATTTTCAGTTTAGATAAATACATTTAAATACACAATAGCACATACTGCATGAATTTTTAATGCATTAAAAATTTATTTTATTTAGTACAATTATATCTATTACGTAGTTTAGATCTGATTCGTTACTTTTCACTTTCTCATGAGAAATTGGTCAGATCCCTCGTACTTTATTCCCAAGGGCTGATTGGACCTCCTAATAGCGATTCCTGCAATTTAGTAAAATTCCTCGGTTCTGTTCGTCGACATGCCTTTGTTCTTAAACAGAGAGAGTAAAGAATATGTGCCTACATTTTGTGTAATTTATAGATGTTTACATTTTTGCTTAAAAAGGAACAGAAGCTTTAAAACTGCAAAAAACCAGTTTTAAGAGTTTTGCAAAAATCGATGTTCCACAATGTAGAATTTTAAAATGAATAACTATCATTTTAAAATTTTAGGCCATAAATCTAATTATATGACGTAAATGAACCAGAAAAAAATTAACAATATTTTCGCATTTCCTTCTGAGGACAACATTATTAATATTGAATTTTTTAATGTTATTTTTCTGTTTTGTATTATGATCAAAAATAAAATGTATTTGTATTTGATAAACATGTTAGAACTAACAGGATTTCTTAAACTTTGGGTCGCGACCCCCTAAGGGGATCGCTGGACCTGCAGCAGGGTATCGCCAAAAATTTTAGCAGTTTTGATATTTCTTTAACTTATTATAATAATTTTACAATTACCAAATATTTTTACACAATGTATATGAAGATAGATAAAGATAAGACAATACAGACAAAGAGAAAAATGAAAACGTTTCGACGCATTCTTTTTATAATATTAACGTTCATTTTCCTTGCTTTACACGTGACGCTGTCATTTCGTCTGTTACTTATTTAAAATTTTCACATTGTTCTATGTCTTAAAATTAATGACCTAAAACTGCAATAGTATAGTACAAGTGAAAAAACTGACAGTTTCACTCACACGTGTGTTGGATTTTCGCAATAATTATGGGGTCCCAAAAAAATTTTTGTAAATATTATGGAGTCCGGGGGGTCGCGAAGAAATCTCAGTGATTAAAAGGGGTCTGAACTGAAAATGTTAAACCCTAGTGTAGAGCATCGATTTTTGCAAAATAAAGCCCATGCAAATAAAACTAGTATTTCCCTCGGAAAGGGATGTTGTTGTTGATTCGTGGTTTCGGATTGATGTCGACGATGTATATAATCTTACAATTACATCAAATTTTTATCATTATAATTAGTATTTCATATACGTTTGCTACTGTTTGTTTAAATCAGTACGGAAAAACATTCAAAGGTTATCTGTCTATGGGAAGGGATGCCGTCCCATTTGTGGAGGTCTTTCTAAGGGAAATTGGATTGTATTTACCTCATACACAAGAAAAACCATAAAAGCTCGTTCCCTGATATTCTAACCTATGTCGAACTAGCACTGTTCAGCAATCTTATACATTTTGCCTACTAATTGGCTATGTTTCCTTTTTTAAAAATTTTTTTATTCTATTTAAATTCTCTTGTTTTATACTTCCTTTTAATTGGTAATTTTCTGATTATCTGTTTCAAACACAGATGCACATAAAATAAATAAATAAATCTGAAATCTTTCAGATTTTATACTACGCTCAAAGGGGCGTTTTTTTAACGTATTGTGCGTTACCTTTATTTATTAAATATCATGTTATTCGCACTTAAACCATAAAATTCAATTCAACAGCAATATCACAAAATAAATTAAAAACAGGATATCTTTCGAATTTCCGATACACAGTCTCGCGCTCTGGAGATAAAAAAAAGTTTTTTTTTTTTTTTTTTTTTTTTTTTTACAATGTTGCCATTGCTTGCTTTGAAATTTTGAAATGGATGAGTTTGTTAATCGAAAATTCGTTCAAGTTTTAAAAAATATGAAATAGATACTAAAAAAACAAATTCTAAACTCTGAATTTGGGCTTTCAGATGCCCATATTCGAGTGAAAGACTATGTTATTCAAAATTTGATGTCTCTAGGTACCGTTGTTTTCTCACAATGTGACAAACATGCATACATACATTCAGATTTTTCATTATTTAATTTCTTTAAATATAATGCAGGGCTCTAACATTTGGTGGCAAAAATTTGGAGAGTGAAACTCCGTTTATATTGAATCATCGCAAAATGCCAAAACGAAATTAATAGCTCATCTGGGTAATTTGCCCCTTTGGGATGATAATAAACATGCTCTCTACATTATTCCAAAAAAAGTTTAATATTTTTGCTATATTTATTGACTTACGTGAATTTCGAAAATTAATGTAAAAATAATCACTCAAAAATTTTTTACTGTGTTTCCTTCCGTTGTTTGTGCAATCTTTATATATTATTATATTATATTTAGATAATAAGTAGCAAATCTCAAAATTAAATACCCCAACTTATTTTTTATTTTTTTTTTTTTTAAATACTTATTTTCTTTAAAACATTACGCTTTTAGATGCTTAGTTGGTCCGAAACGAAAGGGCTTTTCCTTCTTTAGTGACATTAAGCTTGATAGCTAGAGGGAAAGTGGGACCGGATACGGAGGCTATTCAAAACTGTAAAAGAACAAAAGCTTTACGACTTGAAAGTGTCACCTAACCTTCGAAATATTTTCCCGCCGCTTGTTTGGTGAGGAAGGATGACTTTTCCTGATCTTATATTCTTATTCTTATGGAAAATCGTAGACTTTCCGTTCATTCTTTCTTAATCACATGAATGTTTTTGGAAGGCTGGAAAGCAATATTTTAAAAGTCTTATCTTTTGAAAATTAAGTAGAACTTTAAGTATAGATTGTGATGAAGTGGGAGGGTGCCCGGGCGCCCAGGCACCCCCTGGCTACGCCCCTGTATTAGTTTGCTATTTTAAATTGAATACTTGTAGGCCTGAGTAATAGTACTGCCACAACACTAAATTCTATTTTTTAATGATATGCGGCCCAGATGGGAAAATGGTTAGAGACTCTGGATGCCGCACCGAAGGCCCGGGTATAAATCCCGGAGAAGGCTTGGATGTAAATTGTCTTCTTCTTCACAGAAGGCAACGGTGGCCCACTTATTAGGTGTTTCCATAATAAAGTGACCACCACTTCCGGCCTTAGTAGTGGCCAACGCCTATAATGGCATGTGCCCACCATTGGAAATATATTTAACAAAATATTGATATGGATCACACCTTGTAAGGTGCCTGGTAAATATAATAGATTGAACATAAATATACTGTTAATGTTTATCCTGTACAATTAGTTCGGTAAGTTTGAGCTAGTGATATGTAGTGCTTGTGTTAATTTTATCCATTAATGAAATCAGGAATTGTTGCATACTACTCTAGTAGAAGCCTAATGACTTATTCCTGTTTAATTTGATTATTAGCTCAGAATATTGTTGAAAGACATTTTCTGCACCATTTATGTTATAAAGGAATTTTCAATAATAAAAAAAAAATATTTTAAATAACTATCATTAGAAAAGAGTCTTACTTCATAAAGTGGATCTACTTTGAATATGAAACCGTCCACTCCTGGAATAGTAGCTAAGGAAGAAAATTCTGGTAAATCGTCAATAAATCTGGCATTAAAAGGGATTCCTTGAAATTCTGTATCTGTAGCATCTGGATTATTTTTGTCCTAGAAATAAGACATGTGTAAGTTGTAATTTCTTATGTGAATAATTAGGCTTAATAAAAATTACATTATTCTATCACATGAATGTTTAAGCAGTATTTGGGTAACTGTAGAACAAGGTAGTAGATTTTAAAGTACGAAATTAGAGAAGCTTAAGGAATAATATCCCAGGCAGCATGCATTCGTAAATTGCACGAGAAAAATATGTGCAATTTACGAATGGCCTTTCGTATAAAAAACATTCAAGTTGAACGTAAAAATATCATAAAAAGTGTCCAGTGGCAATTACTATTTATTTACGTATATTTACGCGAGGGACTGCTGTTCATTCGCAACTTTTACGTATAATATACATAAATTTCAGGGATTTACGTATATATTTAGTAAAAATTTACGTATATTTATCGCATATACATAAATCTCAATTCTTTGCTTCACGTATGCGTATATATTTAGTAAAAATTTACGCAAATTTCCCTGATTTTTTACTGTATATAAACGTATATATTAGGTAAAAATTAAGGTAGATATTCCTCGTATTTTATGGTACAAAAATGTATATATTTGATAGAAATTAACGTATATATTTCTCGTATTTTACGGTACAAAAACGTATATATTTGATAGTAATTGACCTAAATCTTCCCTATGTTTTCTTTGCATATGCGAATGACTGGTAAAAATTTAATCCGATGTCTTCTCCACTTTACTGTGTATAAATGCACATTTTTTGGTAAAAAATTTGCATAAATCTCCAGTTACCTTTTCCGTAAAATGTACTTATTTTAATCTCATTTTTTATATAATCTATGCAAAAACTTCTGCCTGCTATATAAAAGGTAAAATGTCATTTTTATTATCAAATTCTTACATATCTGCCTTTAGTTATGTACAGCAATATGGAATATATATAACTGGAAAATTTAAATGCACTAGTAAATGAAACAAATTCTATTCAAAATTACATAAACTTAAAGGCTGAAATCATTGTTAATATTTCATTTCAAAGCGACTACAAAATATGCAATAAATTTCGTAACCGAATTCTATGTT